CAACCGACGGAGCCGCATCAGTCAGATGTGCAGAAACAACCAATCGAAACTCAGGGACACCGCCAGGAACAGGCGGAGCCAACGATTCAAGTCCGCAGGTCTAACCATCAGGCGAGACAGATTGACGAGGCACTCTTGAGGGAAGAGAGTTGTGGTGATCCACACTTCCGTGACCGCAATCCATGCACGACTACGTACAGTTTCATGTCATCCAATCACCGTTCAAGAAAGTCGACCAATGGTACACCGGGCAAACATGACATCCGAGTTAGCACATATGATACGTGGGTGAAAACGGTTACGTGATTAGAGGATGCTCGTTCAACCAATCACATGGACTAGTACATTCTATAAAACATGATCTAATTCCATCAATAAACATAAGCATTTGCTGCTATCAATTCCTCGTGTATTTCATTGGTGTCCGCAGTTCGGTTTGAGCCAATTCAGTTATGGCAGTACAAAACGGATTCTCGTATTCCTAAATTCAATAATATTCCGATTACTACACCATCCACGCCTGGTTCGAGATTCTGTGACTAATCGTCTTAGTTCGTTCATCTGTCCGGAATGTCTGGCCTTGTCCGTCTGCAATGTTCCCACCAGACGAGCTCTGTCATTAACTGATATCCATGTCGCTTGAACAAAATCCTATATTTTATTTGCTTGATCAATGGTAGAGTACAATCCTGTTTGGTTGATGGCAAAAATTAGCTTCAATCGAACTCTTTTCTCCGAATAATGATATCGATTACGGAATGAATATTCATACTGGGAAAACTCCAGTTCTGAATGAATGCTTATAATTTAGGCAACTGCCATACGACGTGTGAATTAGCTTGATAGTTACCGTGATCCTCATTCAAGTGCCGTTGCTTTGAATGAAGTATTTCATTCTCTTCCAGATGTCCAGTTCAAATAGTAACTATGCCTGCTTACAATTCAAAAAATACCTTGATCATTGTGTCTCCGTGTGTCCACGCGTGACGGGAACAGGGGAGAGATCAAAAATCGAGCTAATGAGAGCTTGCACATGAGACTGTGTGAATTCGCGAAGCATGCGATATTCACAATGATACTGAAGCATGAAGACGAAATCGATTATGTCCAATGGTGAACAGCATCATTCGTTAATGACATCGTAATAGATCCTGTTGATGATTTTACGGGCTCCCACTTCCTACAAATATACAATTAGGTCATTCTTATCGATGTTCTATTAAAGTACACTGGGACGCATTCCTCCGTGCCTTGTAACCATCCCAATCATACTAGTCAAAATGCAGTCTGCTTTAAGTTTGCCTCCTCCCTCACGAAAAGTTCAGATCAACTGGGTGCGTTTCAATTTATGCGATTGTTTGTAGGAAACTCCACCTCATGCATACTAAAAGCAGCAACCGAAAATTCAGTATGTTTAGTAACAATGTAATCGTATACCATTGGTTTGATTTGGAGTCAGCTGTCCATGGCGCAAACCGCAAGCATCTCCACCTCGGTTGCTACGTTCCCGAAAAAGACGTCTCACGCGGTTAAACTTCCCTTAACCGAATCAATGGTTTGCAATGAATGGCTGAACGGTTTTCAAGGACCGGAACAAGATTTGGGAGCAGGCAGAAGACAGGATAAGCGGCCGCTTTTGAAAATTTACGCGAACGAGATAATGATTTAGGTACCGATGAAGTGCTGGCGATCAGCCTGCAACACTAACCGATGAGAGCATATCCGGCACATATGTATGTACGGGGATATCAGAGCGGTGACACTATCACCGATGTTTCACTGTGCTAGGAACCAATGAAAGGTAGGTAAACTATTTCCAGGAAGCTCACTTCAAACAAGTGAGTGAAACATAAAGTGAACCAGTCAATGATGCAAATATGTAGAGGAGTTATCTGCTTATTAAGGGCTATGATGATCGACATTTGGAAGAAACCTCACAGCGAAAGAGTACATATGGTGCGACTATCCTTGGAATTACTGGTTACGCATTTGACTTTATGGATCGGCTCCGTGTACAATACTAAACGCATATATTCAACAGGAATTGTCGATAGTCACACCAATACCTGGGAGCAAATCAAAAGCACCGATGTGAGGGAATTTCAATCATTTATTTTCACACAATCTGGAGAATCAATCTGAGAAACTCAACTCAACTCAACCAAAGGGGACATCGTGGCGAAAACAATTCGGTTGAATGAGCAATCTTGAAAAGCAGCTTCTCGAAATTGCTAAACAGACGAAATAGCGCCCCCAAAACACCAGCCATCAGAAAGAACTCGCTTCTCCAACGAAAGTACAACGAGACGGGATAACGCAGGAACAGGAGCATAGGCAGTAAATAACAATGGTATAACCAAATACATCGAGAGAACCGCTTAGAAGCATTTGCGGTGCACAATACCCGGACCAGACTCGTCGTATTCCTGCTTGGAGATCCACATCTGTTGGAACGTGGACAATGAGGCGAGGATGGAACCACCAATCCAAACGGAGTATTTACGCTCCGGTGGAGCGACAATCTTGATCTTCAT